ATATATATATATATATATAATACGCAACGAACTCCTAAGCCTTAAGCCCTACTGCACCCGATCGTCAACCCAGAATCATGCAAACATGCGTGCATACATCTACATCAACCTGCCGCCGCCGCAACTCCACTCCCAACTGTTCCCAACCCAGACTGAGGGTTTAGGGGTTTAGGGGTTTATGGGTTTAGGGTTTAGGGGTTTAGGGGTTCAGGGGTTTAGGCGTTTAGGGTTTAGGGTCAAGGAATGCCAAGATCTGCTTCCTGGGCCTTGACAACGCGGGGCCACTTTGCTGCGATCCGACGGTGCTTGGGTTCCTGGAGCTTCAGCTTTCAAGGTACGGTTTCGTCTGTCTGGGCCCTTATGGAACACAATCGGCCCGCACCAGAAACTCCAAGGCAACATCGTAGCCCACAAGGTAGCCCCTCTAACAGCCTGTTTCTGGAACCCTCATCTCCCGATGAGCCTGAGATCCTGAAGCCGGCAGAGGAAGACCACGCTGCTGCAGATGCTGCGCGATGGCAGGCTCGGCGTGAATGCCCCGACGCTGTATCCCAACCAGGAGGCACAGTTGGGTGTGGGGAGGTCTGGGTTTTGGGCTAAGTCTTTCGGTGCTGTGGTGTTGGGGCCTAGAGGGTCGCGGATTATCTGGCTGGACGGTTTGGGACCCGAGCTTTGCAGCGCAGGATGAACTGTACCTCGGGGGGAATCCTGCCCACAGGAGCTTTGCATCCAGGGCATCCGCTTCCGCACCTTCGATCTCGGTGGTCACGAGACAGCACGCAGGATCTGGAAGGACCGTTTGCTTTGAGAAGTCAAGTTGTTTTGGTGGGTTGATGGTGGACAGGACCCCAGCCCATGCTACGGCCGCATGTTTCTGCGGCAGTACTCCGCCGAATTCCGCCCATAAATGTTAGCTTAGAAGTTATCAGCCTGCCAGAGTCATCGAAACACCGTAAGATTTGACCCGCTCCAAGCCCAGCGACCATAGGACTACCTCGCGGCCGTCGACGGGATAATCTTCCTGGTCGATGCTGCAGACAGAACTCGTTTCGCTGAGGCTAGAGTTTAGTTAGTTTAGTCTTAGCCCAGAGGGCTAGCAGGGGTAAGGGGGCAAACGGCTACTGGTAGCAGTGATGATAGCAGGCATGGCAGTGCAAACAAGAAGAGGACCATGGCGATAGCGGCATTCGCATTCACTACCACCGCCGGCACATGCCGCCACCCCTGGTGCCATCGCCACCGCGATGGTTGCTGCCACCACGACCCAGACCGTCGCCGTTGCAATCCCTAACCCCAACCCATCACGATCATTGTGATTCGCTTCTTTTCGATCGCCATAGCAGCCCTGTCATCATCATCATCATCATCATAATCATCATTCCTCTTGCTCCTTGTCATCGTCGCCATCATCCCCATCACCGTGCCATCACCTCATTCACCATGGCCATACGAGGATTGAGCGTCACCATCGCTATCACCCCTCTAGCAGTTCATGATCATGAGCAATATCACGATGGCACCATCATCACGACTGCTCCTCAACAATCATGCGGGCAGATGGTCACCATTCCGCTCATAGCTGCCGCTTGCAGCCTTCGGCCGCAGGCTTCCGAAGAGATTGGACGCCTGCTCGAGGACGTGTTGCCGTCGAATTTGACAGTGCTGAGCTGGTGCCGCATGTTGGGCATAGGCGTCACAGTCACAGCCTTGTCAAGGTTTTTCAACATGTTTCGTGCGAGCTACAATGCTTCACGAGTTATGCGAGTAGTGCAGAGATTCATAGATCTTACGTCTTATACGCTTGTTGAGGGCAACCATGTGCCAACCCCCCTAAACCCTAAACCCTATAGACCCTAAACTCTCAATCCAAACCCTGTCTGGGTGGAGCTGTGTTGACTTGAGCGAACTGGCCGCCAGCCCTCAAAAGCCCAAAAACCCTAAACCCTGAACCCGAAACTCTAAACCCTAAGCCCTAAACCCTACAAACCCTAAACCCTACAAACCCAAAACCCAAAACCCTATAAACCCTAAACCCTATAAGCCCTAAGCCTTACACTCTGGACGATGGGGGAGGGGTGCGGGCGTGGTATGAGGGTCTCGGGCTCTCGACGTTCTACTTGGTTCCCATGGCTG